CATTTATAAGATTATTTCTTTGTTGCTTTGTATGTCCCTCCCCCACAGTATAACCCCCGCTTTCACTATATTTGATGTCAGTATAACTTGTGGAAGCGATGGGGAAAAAATAAGTCGTTTAAGAATACAGGTGGACTTGTTGCAACAATGAGAAGTACAAGTTGTCATGTGGAAAACGAGCTTTAAGTCGGTGCTGGGGGGAAGAGGGGGGAAGGATTGGGTGAGGGGGGGAGGGGAGAGGCTGGGAAGGGATGTGAAGGGTAAACAAAGGAGGAAGCTGCAATGCTTGGTAAGAAATGTATGCATTATCCTGCCCATGTAATTGTAACCACTCTGTACAGTATGTTCACAAATAAAATAAAATTTAAAAAAAAAATGGAGAACCACTTGAAGTGGCTAAAGAAAATGGTGGTAACAAGAGAGAAAAAGTAAAAGGCAAAGCTGTCCCTGTACAGTAACAATGAAGCCTCAGTAGTTCTGAGTCTACACACACACGCACACACACACACACACACACACACACACACACACACACACACACACACTTCTCTCTTAGTGAAGCCTTAATAGATCCTGGAAAGACCACAGAAATGATATCTATTATTCTTGAAGAGAAAATCATCTGTGACTAAAAACTGTCCAAGATACTGATCATTGTCTCTGTTCTTCTATTTGACCAAGTCTCTGTTTAATAGGCAGAAAATGGAGTCAATTTTTGAAGCAATTCATAGTTACTACTTTGAATTGCAGGAATATGATTTTTAGATTGGAAGAAGGCTTATTTTCCTAAGATAAAATGGTTTTATATATAATATTATTCTAGAAAATTTAAAAGACTACAAATGAATAAATAAACAACAGTTAACAAGTCATTTTTAGCATAAATTATGATGGTTCACTTAAACATGATGGCTCACTTAAACATAAAATAAACGAGTGAAGGGCTGGGATGTAGCTCAGTGGCAAAGCACTTGCCTAGCAAGTGCAACGTCCTGGGTTCAATCCCCAGTACCAAAAAAAAAAAAAAAGATAAAATAAACGAGTGAAAACTTGTGATTATCAAGATAATTCACATATAAAATAGTCTCACAAGTATGAGATACCATAATCTAGAACATTTTGCATTTATTTATGTGAAA